TTTGGTACTTTACTTTTGTTGTCTTCCTCCCCAAAACCCATTACCCCCATCTAATCATGAGAAAAACATCAGAAAAATTCCAATAAAGGGTGGGTCATCCTACAAAATACTTGATCAGTATTCTTCAAAACTATCAAGGTCATCAAAAATAAGAACATTCTGAGAAACTAGCACATGACCAATAAATGTAAACATGGTAACGTGGATGGGATCCTGGAAAAAGGGACACCAGGTAAAAAACTAAAGAAATATGAATATGGAAAAGCACTACCTCTGGAGCCCCAGATCACAGCATAGCTCTGGAGCTTCATTTACTTAAGTCTCAAGATACATACTCAAAAGGTTTGGTTCACCAGCCTGAGCAAGAATGAGACCCTGTCTCTACTAAAAATATAAAAATTAGCCGGGCGTCATGATATGTGCCTGTAGTCTCAGGTACTTGGGAGACTGAGGCAAGAGGATTGCTTGAGTCCAGGAGTTTGAGGTTGCTGTGAGCTAGGCTGATGCCACGGCACTCTAGCTTAGGCAAGAGAGTGAGACTCTGTCTCAAAAAAAAAAAAAAAAGAAACCAAACCTTTTAGAGTATGTATCTTGAGACTTAAGTAAGATGAAGCTCCAGAGCTATGCTGTGATCTGGGGCTCCAGAGGTAGTGCTTTTCCATATTCATATTTCTTTAGTTTTTTACCTGGTGTCCCTTTTTCCAGGATCCCATCCACGTTACCATGTTTACATTTATTGGTCATGTGCTAGTTTCTCAGAATGTTCTTATTTTTGATGACCTTGATAGTTTTGAAGAATACTGATCAAGTATTTTGTAGGATGACCCACCCTTTATTGGAATTTTTCTGATGTTTTTCTCATGATTAGATGGGGGTAATGGGTTTTGGGGAGGAAGACAACAAAAGTAAAGTACCAAAGTACCATTCTTTTTTTTTTGAGACAGAATCTCACTCTGTTGCCCGGGCTAGAGTGCCATGGTGTCAGCCCAGCTCACAGCAACCTCGATCCCTGGGCTCAAGCGATCCTACTGCCTCAGCCTCCCCAGTAGCTGGGACTACAGGCACACGCCACCATGCCTGGCTAATTTTTTCTATATGTTTTTAGTTGTCCAGCTAATTTCTTTCTATTTTTAGTAGAGATGGGGTCTTGCACTTGCTCAGGCTGGTCTTGAACTCCTGAGCTTAAACGATCCTCCTGCCTCAGCCTCTTAGAGTGCTAGGATTACAGGTGTGAGCCACCATGCCCAGCCCAAAGTACCATTCTTATCCATCACATTAAGGGTATGAGCTATGACTATGATTTATTTATAACTGTTGGTATCACTATGATTTTTTATCCTATTGACTTAAGGAGGTCACCTCTCTCAGAAAGGTCCAAAAATTGAGAATTCAAATGAAGACAAAATTCTACACTATGATTCAAGCTTCTAATATAAATTTTAAAATAATCTTGCTTTTCTTGTGTGGACCATTAAAATAAATCCTTATTCTGTAGCTTTTAACCCATAAATTTCGTCTTCAGGATCACATTTGATGTTTGTTTACCATCTTTTTATGTGTGACCCTCACTTTATGATCAAATTAATATATATCCCAGAATATGGCCATTCATTCTTGTTAGATACCTCACTTTTTTTTTTTTTTGATACTCAAGAGATCTTTATTGATTTAACTATAACAGCAACCATTGATGAGAACTGAATTTTTTCCCTAATTTCCAAACACCCACTGGTTTGGAAGGACAGTTAAAAAAACAAATTGATCATGGGATCACACAGGACTGCCTGAAGGACTGCATGGTGCCCTCTGCTATCCATCCACAATAGTGGGACGGATGGGATGGGAGGGTGGGTGAGGAGACGACACATCAGAGAGACAGAGGGAAGACGAGGAAAGTGCTGGCAGTCTCCGCTTTTCCATTCAGAATGGATGGAACTGGGCCATTGGTGGCACTAAGGGAAGGGCTATTTTTATTAAATAAAATCTTTTAAGATGCTTAAAATGGACACCTTAGCATGTGAGTGTCCTTTGGGCTCTTCAAGACCCCTTCTTTAAGGTTTACCCCTGGGGTGGCAGAGGGTCTCCTCACCCAGGTGGACAAGGTTGGGCTCCATCTGCAGTGAAGGAAAGGCACTGGCACACGGTGCTGGGTGATCCCGATACAGACACCAGGTAGGAGCAGGATGGCTTACCCACAATTTGCTTAGTTCCTTCCCTCCCCCTGGTTTCCAGTTAAAATTACCCTTGATACCTCACTTTTTTGACATTTGTTTTAACATACTAGAATGAGCTTTTCTCTTGGAAATGAAGATATTTTCTGCATTCATTACCTATGTTTGCTTGAACTCTTTACTTTAAAATTAAATGGTACCTCTTCATAGAGTAATGAAGTATTTTCCCTTTTTTGCCAGGTTTTGTGGCACTTAGACATCTTCCGACGTAGCTTTAGGCAGCTTACAACTCATAAGTGCATGGGAGATTCCTGCATCTTTTGTGCTCTCAAAGTAAGTACTTCAAATTTGTTTCTTCTCACTACCTTTAAGTTGCCAAATGGTCAGTTTAGGTGGTTTGGTTAATTGGGGTGATGTTAAAGAATTTATTACTGAATTACCTGCTTGTGGTTTAGTGCAAAAATGAATATGATTATTTTTGCTTGCTTCAGAGAATTATTACTTGGCTTGGGTTATCTCTTTTTCTGAAACTTTTTTGCTTTTATAGCTTTAGTTCATGTGATAGGGTACTATTTAAGTGTGCTTCTAATTTGAATATTTACCCTCTGAGAAGCTAATTCTAAATTTTCATTTTAAAAGAACAGACAACTAAGTGTTTTTAATGGAATTTACTATTGTTAGTTAAAGCGAAGTTTAGCAACAAACTCTTCCTATTGAGAAATGCCAGTACTAAATATTTCCTATTTTCCCATTCCTTAATGTTTCCCATTACTACATTTAATAGATTCTTTATACCAGTTCCCACTTAATGCATTGTCTGAATTTCTGAATAAAATAAAACCAGGGATTTGTTTAGAGTCAAAGAAAATGGCCTAAAGTGAGAGATTTCTGGTATGCTGTTAATGAAAGAACTATGTATGATGTATAACAGGCCAATTCTCTCTTGCTTTATCTGTTTTCCCAATATGTAGCATCCCTTTGTTTTCTTGGTCTAGACATATAATGGATTATTTGTGTTTGGATGAGTCTGCCTGATTTCTGAGTAAGCTTCCACAGTAATTTTTCAGTCTTATAAAGTCTGAATTCTTGGTTTGTTACAGGGATGCTTGGATGTGATCCTTATATGTTTAATTTAGTTGCTTTTACATCTTCAAGTAGGAATCGTGACCAAAATTCTAGGAGAATTTCCCAGTTAAATTGGATATTTGCAATGACTGACTCAAAACATTTTTTTGACCAGCATAACTTTGGAGTTTTAAGTCCACGATAGGCAGATATCTTTAGAAAGAGATAAGTAAGTCTACTGAACTTTTTGCCACTTGGGTCACAAACATCTTTTTTTTTTTTTGAGACAGAGTCTCCATCTGTCTTCCCAGCTAGAGTGTAGTGGTGTTATCACAACTCATTGCAACTTCCAGTTCCTGGGTTCTAGTAATCTTCCTGCCTCAGCCTCCTGAATAGCTGGGACTACAGGCACACACCACCACGCCCAGCTAATTTTTTCTATTTTTAGTAAAGATGGGGTCTTGTTTTTGCTCAGACTGGTCTTGAATGCCTGACCTCAAGAGATCCTCCCACCTTGGTCTCCTAGCATGCTAGGATTACAGGCATGAGCCACTGTGACCAGCTACAAATATCTTTTTCTTCCCACCTTTTGTTTGGAACTATTGTAACTTATAACAAAACATACAATATAAATAAATTATTGGTTAGTTGGGGAGTTCAAATATGAATTTTAATAAAACCAAAATATTTTACAAGGTGATTATAACATTTCTTACTCTGCCTATTCAGACAGAAGCCTATCCAAAAAGTGCATTTGATCTAATTTTTCTGAAATATACATTGAGTATCTAATCTTAGATAAGCAAGAAACACAGTGGCTCCTTGGTAAATAAGTCCAAGGGAGATCTGATTCATGGCATTAAAACCATGCTAGGGAGATAATTTACTAGGGACATGTGAATCCTGGAGAAATCTCTGGTAGAAGAACTTCCTGAAACTAGAAACTTAATCTGTACTAAGAAGAGATGATAGAAATTGTATAACCTCTGACATGTCCATGCCTATGACTAGTCAGGACTGTGCTACACTCTACGTTGACCCAGGTAGGACCCTGGAGAACTGGCTGCCATATTCTTGTTATGTATGTTTCATTTTTCAGAAGGACAAATTGTAACTCTAATATAAATCAGTATTATTATGTAAGCCAGAGATAGGAAAAAACAGCCACTAGACTTTATGGTACAACCTCTGAGACACTGAAGTACAGAAGAGAAATTGTTTTTCAGCCCCTTGGGGCTGAGGAGACATCTTGGGACCCTTTCAGAGAAGCAGTTGCTTGTGATGGATAGGTGAATGGGCTTAGGGGATCAAAGGTTGTATTTTGGGTCTTGATAACTCTGGGGATATGTTAGAATTCTGGTACTTTACTTTGTACATCACTGCCTGATCTAACCAAGAGATTTATTTTCCTTCACTGACTCTTTTGTTATATTGAGAGTATATTAAAGATTTGATTATTTTCCCTAAAGTCCTTTTCAATCCATCCATGCTTATATAAATGTTAAATATAATTAAGCTCTAGTTTGTATAGATTTCACATTTTATTTATTTATTAATTTTTTAATTTTTTTGAGACAGAGTCTCACTCTGTTGCTCAGGCTAGAGTGCTGTGGTGTCAGCCTAGCTTACAGCAACCTCAAACTCCTGGGTTCAAGTGATTCTCCTTCCTCAGACTCCTGAGTAGCTGGGACTACAGGCATGTGCCACCATGCCTGGCTAATTTTTTCTATATATTTTTAGTTGGCCAATTAATTTCTTTCTATTTTTAGTGGAGACAGAGTCTCCCCCTTACTAAGGCTGGTTTTGAACTTCTGACCTCGAGCAATCCTCCCGCCTCAGCCTCCCAGAGAGCTAGGATTATAGGCGTGAGCCACCACGCCCAGCCAATTTCACATTTTATTTTATTTTTTTATTTTATTTTATTTTTTTTTGAGACAGAGTCTCACTTTGTTGCCCAGGCTAGAGTGAGTGCCGTGGCGTCAGCCTGGCTCACAGCAACCTCAATCTCCGGGGCTCAGCGATCCTACTGCCTCCTCCCGAGTAGCTGGCTACACGGCATGCGCCGCCATGCCAGCTAATTTTTTTTTGTATATATATATATTTTTTTAGTTGGTCAATTAATTATTTCTATTTTGGTAGAGACGGGTCTCGCTCAGGCTGGTTTCGAACTCTTGACCTTGAGCAATCGCCTGCCTCGGCCTCCCAAAGGGCTAGGATTACAGGCGTGAGCCACCACGCCGCACACACATATAATCACACATAACACAACAGGATGGCATTGTTTCCATTCTTTTAATTATCATATACTTGGCTGGGCATGGTGGCACATGCTTGCAGTCCCACCTACCTGGGAGGCTCAGGTGGGAGGATTGCCTGACCCTAGGAATTTCAGGCTTCATTGAGCTATAATTGCACCACTGTACTCCTGTTTGGATGACAGAGCAAGACCCTGTCTCTTCACAAAGCAACAACAACAACAACAACAACAACAAAATATATATAGTATACTTCATTTGAAAAAATTATAGACTTGCAATACAGATGGATTAATTTGAAAATGTGGAAGAGCTGGGCTTGGTCTTAGTAGATAAGAAGTTTAAATTGTTCGAATAGCTATAGTTTTTAGGAAATATTCCTTTATCCAGGCTGGTGGGCTTCATTTCCTTAGAAAAGGGAAGTGGTGATTAATGTATGAAGGAGTCAACTTGGGATGGATCATTAGCACTCAGATCCTCCTGTAGGTTGTCTCTTTTGTTCCCCACTTAAAAAATACCTTTATAGAATAGGAAAATAATACAACTCAACATTGAACCAGATTCTGGTCAGTGTGAATAAGATAACAAAAATATAAAGATTATAAAGGAAGAAATAGTTGTCATTATTTGCAGATGATATGTCTATTTAAAAAATCCCAAAGAATCTACTGATAAATCAGAAGAATCAATATGAGAGTATAAGACCTGCAATCCTAGCACTCTGGGAGGCTAAGGCAGGAGGATCACTTGAGCTTAGGAGTTTGAGACCAGCCTCACTAGACCCCATCTCTACTAAAAATAGAAAAATTAGCCAGGTGTTCACGTGGTGTGCGCCTGTAATCCCAGCTACTTGGGAGGATGAGGCAGGAAGATCACTTGAGCCCAGGAGGTTTCAGTGAGCTGTTATGACAGTACTACATTCTATCTAGTGTGATAGAGCGAGATTCTGTCTCAAATAAGAAAAAGAAAAAAAGAGTATAGCATATTGCTACATATAAGATGAAGGTGTAACTTTCAGTTGTATTTCTGTAACTAGCAACAAACAGAAAATGCAATTTAAAAAACTTTTATAGAAGCAAAGAAGTAAAGAAAAAAAAAGCAGCGAAGTATATGAGGTAGATACGAATAAGTTTTACTTTCTATGTAATCCATTCTTTACATTACTGTTTTTGAAACTTCATTATAAATGGAATCATTCTATGTAAATTTTGTGTGTGTGTGTGTGTTTTCTTTAGCTCATCAGTATGTTTATAAGATTATCCATATTGTTTTTTTTTTTTGTTTTTTTTTGAGACAGAGTCTCGCTTTCTTGCCTAGGCTAGAGTGAGTGCCATGGCGTCAGCCTAGCTCACAGCAACCTCAAACTCCTGGGCTCTAGCGATCCTGCTGCCTCAGCCTCCCGAGTAGCTGGGACTACAGGCACGAGCCACCATGCCCGGCTGATTTTTATATTATATATATTAGTTGGCCAATTAATTTCTTTCTATTTTTATGGTAGAGACGGGGTCTCGCTCAGGCTGGTTTTGAACTCCTGACCTTGAGCAATCCGCCCGCCTCGGCCTCCCAGAGTGCTAGGATTACAGGCGTGAGCCACCGCGCCCGGCCTGTTTTTTGTTTTTTTTGAGACAGAGTCTCACTCTATTGCCTGGGCTAGAGTGCCGTGGCATTAGCCTGGCTCACAGCAACCTCAAACTCCTGGGCTCAAGCAATCTTCCTGCCTCATCCTCCCAAATAGCTGGGACTACAGGCATGTGCCACCATGCCTGGCTAATTTTTTCTGTATATATTTAGTTGGCCAATTAATTTCTTTCTATTTTTAGTAGAGACGGGGTCTCACTTTTGCTCAGGCTGGTTTTGAACTCCTGACCTTGAGCGATCCACCTGCCTGGGCCTCCCAGAGTGCTAGGATTACAGGCATGAGCCACCAAGCCTCACAATCCATATTGTTTATAGGTCTATTTTGTTCATTTTTCCTTTTAATATATGGAATTTCTTTATGTAAATAAATTACTA